ATGAAATTTGCATATAAATTAATAAATTTCAAAAGCTTAATAAAAGCCTAAAATGGTACCGCGGTGAGAATCGTCGAATATTTTTGGTGTACCTGAGTTGTTGTGCTTGTCGAGCGCAATTAGCTAGTAAATTTGTCGTGATGAAATCACTTGATGGTAATAAATTTAATGTTAATGATGATGATGCAGCAGCAGCAGCAGCAGCAGCAGCAACGGCAATTGATGACGAAGCGCCATAAGATTGAAAATTTGATGAAGCAGGTGTAGGAGTGATACCAAATGCATCACCAATTGTTGCTACACCATTCATCGACGGTGAAAACAAATCACCTGACCACCAATTATTGCCCGTGATCGCTGATAAAAAATACAATCCTAAAATTGAATAATTTCCAAAACAAAAAAAAAAATCATTTTGAATAATTTCTAAAAAAAAAAAGCAAGAAATTTCCATATGAATTATAAATACATTTTAAAACATAAATTATAAATTCATAAATTAATTGAATTAATTTAATTATTAATTCAAGCAGCTAATTAAACCAAAGATTAATTAAGTTAAATATGATAATGTTTTAAATATTTTTGCTATTTTTATATAATCTGTAGAATGAAATGTAAGTTAATAAATACAGATTGTTCTGATAGGATTGATTTCCAAACAAATTCAAATTATTCACTGATTAATTCATTAATGCAAATTAACTGATTAATTCATTTTAATATTCCATTGAAATTTAGAGTAAGCGTAAATTAGCTAAAATAACCATTTCGCACTAATAGAATAATGATAATATTCAAATTATCTAAAATGAAAATAATAAAAAACAATAAAATGACACATTCAAAATTTAATCTAGAATTAGAAATTTTTTGAAATATATAATTCAATATCTCATTTAAAGAAATGGTGAACTGCATTAATGAAATTCATTACTTTAATATTATTACCATCCATTCTGGACTGCACAATTTACGATTCAATAATATACGAAAAAAAAAACAGCCATTATGAAGTCACGATAAAAATGAATAAATTGCACTGTAAATTGAATGCAACGTGAAAACGTGAAAGATAACATAATCACATATTGATAATATAACTCATCTTTTATTTTAATTAGTAATAAAATATATTTTAGCAAAAAAAAAAAAGAAATCCTGAAATATACCGGAATTATCGCTTTCCGATCCAATATCGTAACGGGTATCGTCTTGACCGGTTGATGCTGCAGAATGCGATAAAAGCGAAAATTCTTGATGGTAATGATTATTGTGATTGTGATTATGATGATGATGATGATGATGATGATATTGATGATTAGAATGGTAATATTTTTGTTGTTGTTGTTGTTGTTGTTGTTGTTGTTGTTGTTGTTGTTGTTGTTGATGGCTCAGAGGTAATCCGAGTAATGTTATCTCGGTCAGCAGGGTGGACAGGATTAAAATAAAATGGCAGTAAGCCAACGATGCTGCTTGTTCCGTTTTGTTAAATTTTAATGATAATATCACAAAAATGTCTATTACGTAAATTTTCCTCAAATTATTATACCAATGAAATTTAGCTTTCGTTTCTAAATGATAACGAAGTGAAAGCCACTGCAGTATTGATAATGATAATGATACTAATGATGATAGTAATAGTGATAATAATAATAATAATAATGATGGATGTAATATTAATTGTATTAATAGTACAAATTGTTGTTTGTCTAGCAAAATGCTAGTAATAGTAATCGTTTTTAAAGTGGGCCTTACGGCCCCCAATAAAATAATAAATTGTTTGATTCGATAATATACCAAAATTTGAAATTATTTTTACAAAAATTTCCCGTCTTTTTTTTCTTCGTTATGAAATTAAATTTTGCTTTTTTCGAATATAATACTGCAACAATAACAATAATTGCAATTGTAAATTCTTCCGTTTGTTTATCTTTTCGCGTAGTTTTATCAGTGATAGCTTAAATAAAGTTGATTGATTGTAATATATGATCGTAGTAATAAATTGACAGTAATAATAATTCCGTATTGTATGATGAAATTGTTGTGTTGCTAGAATTGAATTTGTATTTTAATTTGATTTCATATATGCTTCACGTCGTATTGCAGCTTCCTGATATAAATTCTTATCGCTAAAAAGCAAAAAAATGCATTAAATTTTAAATTTTCGTTTTTTTGCAAAAAAAAAACATTCGTCTGATTTGTCGTTTTATTAAAAAAAAAAAAAAAAATTACCGTAAGAAAAGAAAGAATAACGGAAAATTGTTAGCTTAAAGAAAGAGAAATGGAAAAGAAAAGAAAGATCCTAAAGAATAAATTTAATTTTATTAATTAACAACACAAAAAAAAAAACTAATAATTATAAATGAATCAGTTAGCTAACGGTCTATAGCGATGATTTTTATTTTAAAAATAAACAGCAAAATATCAACTACAACAATGCCTTTTTTTTATATTTTGAAATTTGAATCAAATGAATAAAATTATAAAATAAAGTTAGTTTGCCATATTTTCTTGATGAAGTTCAAAAAAAAAAAAATTCTTTTATGAAACTTTTTTTCTTTTTTGAGAAAAAAAAAGCTTTTTTCTAACAGAACTTAAGAAAACGAAGCCAAGCAGTAATAAAATCCTCGGGGAATATTGGAAATTCTTCCAGATATGAAGCAAAGTTAAACTTGCTTTTAATCTAAGACAAATATCTATTGCTGGTTATAAGACAAGAAGCTTTTACTTATATTGAGCAATTAATTTCATGCAAAAAAAAAAATAGAAAAAATTCTTTATTTCCTTTAAAAAATTTTACTTCTATCGGAATGAAATAGCGCTATTTTTAAGTTTTGCTAATTTCCTAAATTTTAATGTTCAATGAAAACGGAGAGATAGAAATCTCCCAGCTGAAATATTTATTTGCTATTGATATAAAAGAAAAAAAATAAAAGAAAAAAGTAAAAAAGATTAGCATGAAATGAAATGTATGTAGCAGATAGAAAATGATAGCTTTCAGAATTAAAAAAATTACTTGTAAATTAAAATTTAATAATAATTTTAATTTAATACAAGTGATTTCTTGTATGTTAAATGAAGGGAAATGTAATGCAAGAAAACATATGGCTCTTCAAAAAGGCATAGATAATGGTGGCACAGGGAGGTCTCTAATTAGACCTTTTTGTAATGCAATTAAAAGTTTCAAAAAAAATTAAAGTTTCGTTTCAGTTACAGCAAAAGGGAGGAGAAAAACAAAAACCAAAA